TGAAATTACGTTAGAATAGACGCTAATCTGTCATCCGGTCATCTGACAATACATGTATACATTTTAATCCCAAGTGTGTGAATGGGGTCCTAACCTCACTCGTAAAACAACGCAAACACACTCAGATTATAATACATAAGCACCAAGACATATTTAGATATATATACACACAAATAGTGACGAGACAGGAAAAAAAGGAAACAAACACATGCATACATACACAATTAAAAATGAATGCATTTTCCATACACATAGACACCGATAAATACATGTACACACGTCCACATACATTGACCTAGTCAATCAGATACCACAACCAAGAAATATTTAAGAAGGAAAATGTAATTAAACAAATGCTAACCACTTATTAAAATATAACTAAAGCGAGCAAATATACAAAGATAAAAATGGTTAAAAATCATATTATTTAATATATTAAAAACCGAAAATTCCAAAACCACAAATATCTATAAAAACACATATGTATGTATGTATGGGTGTTTGTACTGCGGAATATATATATATATATATATATATATATATATATATATATATATATATATATGTCCTGTTATATTGTGTATCTACATTTATATTTACGTATATTTCTGTATGTATGAATATGTTTATATATGTATGTTAGGGTACATGTATCTGGGTGTGTATGTATATGGATGTATGTTTATGTATGTGTATGTATGTACGTTTATATATGTATTTGGTTGAATGTCTGTGTATTTATGTGTAAGTACGTATATATATTTACTTATACTTATATTATATATATATGTATATATTTATATATATATATATATATATATATATATATATATATATATATATATATATATATATATATGAAAAGTGTATATAAATAAATATGTAAATGTATAATTATGTATTTATATGTGTATATATATATATGTATGTATATGTGTGTTGGTTTGTGTTTACTGCCGCATGTGTATATCTATGTGTGTATATATGTTTTTTTGTGTGTATTTGTGTCTGTGTATATGTATATATATATATATCTATATGTGAGTGTGCGTATATTTGTGTATGTATGTATGTATGTATGTGTATATCTACTTGTTATTATAGATATATATATGTATGTATATGTTCATATATATATATATATATATATATATATATGTATGTGTATATGTTTGTGGGTGTATATGTATGTGTTGACACCTATCATATGTGAGATTGTGCGTATGTGTAGGTACGTCAACTTTGGTTTGTGTTTACTGCCAAGTGTGTAAGACTATGTGTGTATATATGTATATGTATGTGTATTTGTGTGTGTGTGTATATATATATATGTGTGTGTGTGTGTGTGTGAGTGTTTCTGTATTTGTGTACATTCTGTATTTGTGTACATTCTGTATTTGTGTACATATAGATATGTGTATATGTATTTGTATTTAATATGTGTTTAAGTGTGTACATACGTATATGTATGTATATGTGTGTATATTTATATGCATATGAGTGGATACGAGTGTACTTATATATGTGTGTATGTGGATGTGTCGATACGGGCGTTTATAGATGATTATATATTTGGATATGTGGATATATGTTCGTAAGTTGTAGTATATATATATATGTATGTATATATCAGTGTCTTGAAACATACCATCGATACTAACTAAAATCTACTCTTGTATGATAGGGATTTTTTAATGGCTTATAGACTTAATCAACAACTGTGTGTGGTTACTTTTTTATAAAATTATTATGTACTTTTACTATATTTTATTGTTAATAAGATAATGTTGCTAGAATGTATGTATATTCCCATTTTAATGTTTGTATGTAAATACATATGTGTGGTTGTGTATATATATATGTACATATATATATATATATATATATATATATATATATATATATATGTGTGTGTGTGTGTGTGTGTGTGTGTGTGTGTGTGTGTGTGTGTGTATGGATGTGTTTGTGCGTGTATATATGTCTATATAGGTAAATTTATTTTTTTGTTTTTTTTTTTGTTTTTTTATGTGTATGCGTATATTTGTATGTGTTGATATATATATATGTTTGTGTACTTAGTTTATATGCGCATGTGTATACATGTATATGTATATATATGTTTAAATATGTATATATGTGTATGTATGTGTGTGTGTATCTAGACATATTTCTGTGTATATGTGTATATATGTATATACGTGTGACTGTACACTTATTTCTGTAGGTAGTACTTTTATCTTATTTTCTTTCACCTAATATATAATGAAACATCAATTTATATGATTAAAATATATGTTTTTATAGATATTTGTGGGTTTGGAATTTTCGTTTTTTAATATATTAAATAATATGATTTTTAACCATTTTTATCTTTGTATATTTGCTCGCTTTAGTTATATTTTAATAAGTGGTTAGCATTTGTTTAATGACACTTTCAGTCTTAAATATTTCTTGGTTGTGGTATCTGATTGTCTAGGTCAATGTATGTGGATGTGTGTACATGTATTTATCGGTGTCTATGTGTATGGAAAATGCATTCACTTTTAATTGTGTATGTATGCATGTGTTTGTTTCCTTTTTTTTATTATAAAGGGCCGTGGAGATGTTCCCAGTCTCGTCACTTTTTGTGTGTATATATATCTAAATATGTCTGGGTGCTTATGTATTATAATCTGAGTGTGTTTGCGTTGTTTTACGCGTGAGGTTAGGACCCCATTCACACACTTGGGATTAAAATGTATACATGTATTGTCAGATGACCGGATGACAGATTAGCGTCTATTCTAATGTAATTTCAATGAAGAAATAAATTGAATGACATATTTCTTCTTTTCTCCTCAGTAATTTTAAAGTTAATAGTGATTAAATTTGGATTTTAAGATTGGTAATTTTTACTTTTAATTTTAATATCAAATTTTATCATATGATTTAATAATTATTGGTTAGAATATTTTCTTTTTTAATATTACCCCTATTTTAAAAATCTGAATAGTTATTATAACATGACTTCGTTGTCAAGCTTTTTGAATTTTCCTATACTTGTATTTTGATTGGTCATTCTCGCTTTTGTAACAACGTTTTCCCCTTACGAAGGATCGTTAATTAATTTGAAACTTTTAAAACCATTTATTTTACATTCAACATCATCACTTGATAAGACACCGGAGGTGTTGAAACAAAATGGCTATTTTTGTAGTGATTTTATAAACATATTTATGTTATATTTTTTAAATAGATAATTATATATATATATATATATATATATATATATATATATATATATATATATATATATAGAGAGAGAGAGAGAGAGAGAGAGAGAGATAGATAGATAGATAGATAGATAGATAGATAGATAGATAGATAGATACTGTTATATATGCAGTTTATCTGTGACGTACATGTAATTTATTTGTATATATAAATATATATACAAACATACATATATGTTGTATGTACATATATACACACACATATATAGATGTGTGTGTGTGTGTGTATAAATATACATGCATACATACATATATCCACTGTGTTATGTGTTCTTAAGGACACATGGCACAGTGGATAAATGCGTTAGTTAGATCCAGTAACAGGACCCAAATTGTTGTGAGTTCATTACTCAGTGGAGAACATGGAGAGGGGAATTAACAGGAGATAACTGCTAACTGACATCCATTAAACACAGTACGTGGAACTAGAACAGTATACCCCATCCAGCGAAATAAAGGGTTCAGTTCGACATTCCAATCACCTGAAGAAGATTGGAGCGTACAACGGCCGAAACGTTGTGATAAATATGGCAACAAAGATGAGAACAATATTCCGAATAATGTAAACATCTCAGAAATATAATATCACATCTCAGATATATATATATATATATATATATATATATATATATATATATATATATATATATATATATACATACATACATACATTCACGTAACGATTCCAACACTCCATACCACATCACTTAGGTGTAGCTATCTTCAAATTTTCGGCACTTCCGGATATGCCAGGAAACTGAATGACAAAGCTGAACATTTCTGTTTAACGCGTTTTGTTCTATAAAATAACTTCATCTGACTAAACTAATGTTCATATTAATTTAATGATATATACATGTAATGAGTGAGAGAGTATATATAGACGCCAAAGTTTATTATAATTATGCAACAATGTGATTTAAATTTAAGATTTTTGAATTTAAACATTTTTGAATATCTTCTTTTTTTCTTCTATATTCTACATCAAGTTCTATATTATTAACACAAGCATTCAATATATATAAATATATATATATATATATAGAGAGAGAGAGAGAGAGAGAGAGTGAGTGAGAGAGAAAGAGGGAGGGTGGGAGGGAGAGAGGATGGGCTAGGAAGGAAAAGGATGTCCCCACATATCCGTGGGACATATGTTCGAAAACACTATCAACTGTCTGAAACTGTGGGTAGTATCGAAACTTCTATATAGACACCCACGCACGCATACACTCACGCATATTCGAAATTGCAATTTATCTTGATCGTGTGTTTGAGCGTATTGACCTTATTGAAACTGTTGATCGCACCAGATTACACACGTTCTTCCAGAACTTGTAACTGTGGTCTGTCCATCATAGTTGCCGTATGACTCACAGATGTGCTTTAGCAGGCATTTGCAATATAGTTTAGACATAAGTATACACACCTATAGAAAATAATATTCCAAGATAATACGTATAGATATAATTATATTAACACTTATAAGGGAAACATAATAGTATTATATAAGTATTATATAAGAAAAGCGTTCATACAAAAGTTTATATTCGGGTCATTCGGGTCATCGATAAAAAATTATAATAATTTCTCTAATTATATAGCTTCATCATAATTCCTTTTGCAAGTGAACTTACTGAAACATTATTTCACTTATAAAAAAAGACCTTCCGGTGAAGCTAAATAAATATCAAAATATGTTCAAATTACAAAGATTTTCATATTTTTCGCTTATTTAATCATTAGGTTGACACAATAATCTGATGAAAAAAATGATAGATAGATAGATAGATAGATAGATAGATAGATAGATAGATAGATAGATAGATAGATAGATAGATAGATAGATAGATTTGGATCACACTGGGATAGATAGATAGATAGATAGATAGATAGATAGATAGATAGATAGATAGATTTAGGTATATTCAGGAACATGCAGAAAGTGTATTTCCTTTAATATTGGATATGTTTATACAGGTTTTGTGATGATCAAAATCACAATCCACTAGCCTGAAACCCCTACGTTTTTACAGTTCTTTTGAAGCATTAAGGAATCAGTTTTAGAAATAACGGTGGTATCATTCCTGCAAGCAAAGAATCTTAAATTACAAGAAACCATTCGGATATGGAACAAACTGGCATGTGAACGATGTCAGCCAATCGACAGGAAGGGAAAAAGACTAAAACTCCGAATGAAACAAAAGCAACTGCACTCCTCATCAACATAAGCAGAAACCTTTCACACAATTCTAAATAAGATGTCCCCTGGCATAAAACGTTAATACTCGGGAATGGTATTCATAGTTCTACTGTGTCCCTGGCGCTGTGGCAGCTTGATCATGTCTATCTTCTTTTTTTTCCCACCTTATTCTCACCATTTTCACTTCAAACAATTTTACTTTTCTTGTTTTCTACTTTATATTTTCCTCTTTCTCCTACTCCCTCTTCCTTACTTTATATTTAACTTCTTCCTTTTACTCTCCCCCCTCCACAAGACACACAAAATTAACTCTTGCTCTTCCGCAAGGTCTCATCGGCCACCATATTCATTTTTGTCTCTTCGTTAAGACGCCATATTTTCATGTCTTCTTTTTATTCTTATTCATTTGGCTATCACATTTTTTTTATTTTACCCCCGCCCATTCTTTTCTAACGATTTTATATTTATAATTCTTTCTTTTAGTTCTCGCCTTTTTTATTCTTTATTTTTCTTACTTTTTTGTATAAATCTTCTCTTTCTCTTTCTTTCTTGTTTATTTTTTAATCTTCATTTCTTGCTTTTTACGATTCATTTTCAATGTTTGTTTTTATTTCATCCTTCGTTTCATTGTAAATTCCATTGGCAATCACCATTTATCGACCACTTTTAGATGTTCCCTTATTCGATTTCTTTCCTGTATTTTCCTCTGTTTATTTTTCTTTTAAATTTTCATGTTCAATACTTCTTTTTTTTTTCTCTCCATAATAAACTTCTTCGTCTTCTCCTTCTGTTGCTAAGAACATTCTTCAACAGAATTGTCGCAAGTGAATACAACATTTCGACGATAATTACCTCTATTTCTCTATGTCTTTTTTCATTGTAATTTAAATTAATCCATATACTGGATCACTGAATGACAAGATTTCCTCTCTAAGACAAAAATTAAATCCGTTTTTTTTTTATTATTAAGACAACTGCAACCGTCTTATTCGCTAGAAATCTTATCAACATTAACATAAACCATATTCTTTGACAACTCACTAATGGATGCCTACTCACATCAATATTAATTATCATATACAATAAATTAACATCCTCTCATTAACTATCTTCGTTATTTCCTTGTAACATTAATATTTATTCTCATTTATATTAATATCAGTTCTTATCATGATTAATATCAAGTCATAGCAATGGTGAATTTTCCCAACTGACTTTTTGCAATATTATAGTAAAATCTAATTGATACTCCTGTTTATTCCTGTTTACATAACATTGCATTGTTTTATCAAATTTCTTGATTAATAATCAATTAGTAATCAACAAATCAGTATTCAGTTTCTTCACGATTATCACTGGGTTCTGTTAGTTTATTTATCAATCCAACTAAATGTAAACTACTTCTTATAAATTCACATTAATATTAACTAATTTTCGTCTTCAGACATTCATTTTTATGATTAAATTTTTACTTTTGTCTGTAATTGTTAGCTTCAATTTTCGTTCATTGTCGAAAATGTCACATACAGTTCCATTACAATATTTGTTTTCATTTGTATATCAATAGGTCTAATCAGCGTTTATTAAATATAATTTCCCATTGTATATTGTAGTACAAATTAATCACTTCAAACATGATTAAACGTTGATCATATCTATACTGATTAACTTATATTAATTACGTTAATAATTTTACATTACCCACTTCAACTGGGAGATAAGGCAACATTCATTTCCCTCCATCTTGTTCTTGAGATTCATGTTTTTCAGTTCCATCACCACTCAAGTATTTTATATTACTTTCTTTTCGTTATTAATATCCTATGAATATGACAGAGCTACTAATAATTTAATGTATCAATACTAATATAGTAATTCATAAGTTATCTTCTTCACTCTGTTGTGAGTAAAGGCCATAATCGTACCTTACCAATAAACCCTGATGTTCTGGCTTTTTCCACATAGGTTATTAGATTCTAAAGGATGTTTCAAAAAGAATACGCCAAAACCATTACGCTGTTTTTTCAGGTCTATAGCATTGTAGTGGACTGAATCGGTAGTTATTTGATAGAGTAGTTATGAAAGTTTGATTAGGTGTCAGTTTAGCCGCTGTCGTTAGTATAACTTCCGGTGCAGCTGAATTGTGGGAAGATCAATCAAAATGGCGACTCCTCATCAGAAGGCGTTTTGCATGCTTGAGTTCGCGAAAACAAATGCCCTTGTCACGGTGCAGGGTGCTTTCAGAACAGAATTCAGCATTGATCCGCCCCATCGTGAGAGCATTCGACGGTGGGTTAGACAGTTTAAAGAGAGTCGGTGCCTGTGTAAAGGAAAGATTCCTGGAAGACCAAGTGTTACAGAGAAGTAAGTGGAGAGGATTCATGATGCATTTGAGAGCATCCCACGTAAGTCCGTACGGCGAGCAAGTCTTCAGCTTGCCATCCCTCATACCACTGTCTGGCGTGTGTTAAAGAGACGATTACACATGAAACCATACAAACTAAGCCTCGTCCAAGCACTTACTAATGATGACAAGGTGATGCGTAGGACATTCTGTGAGTCAATGCTGGAGATGGAGGAAGGTGATGAAACTCTCTTTTCACGTTTAGTTTTTAGTGACGAAGCGAATTTCATTTTGAGAGGCACAGTCAATCATCACAATGTGCGCATTTGGGGAACAGAGCACCTACATGAAACTGTTGAGCATGAAAGAGATTCCCCTAAAGTGAACGTCTTTTGTGTTGTGTCTCAAGACAAGGTCTATGTTCCCTTTTTCTTTGAAGGAAACACCGTTACAGGACAAACCTATCTCGAAATGCTCCAAAAATGGCTATTCACTTTACTGCAAGCAGATTCGAATGACTTCATTTTTTAGCAAGATGGAGCACCACCCCATTGGCATCTCGGGGTTAGAGCTTATCTGAATGAAAACGTGCCTCAGCGATGGATTGGGAGGAGAGGTGCTAAAGACCTTGCTCTCTGTACTTGGCCTGCCAGATCTCTGGACCTCACTGTGTGTGACTTTTTCTTGTGGGGGTATGTTAAAGACCAAGTTTATGTTCCAGCACTTCCAGCAAGTATCGATGACTTGAAAAATCGAATAACAGCTGCAATCAACACGGTGGACCGTGACATGCTGAGGCACGTTTGGAAGGAATTCTCATATCGGCTTGATTTTGTCCGCGCCACCGGTGGTGGCCACATTGAGCACTTATAAAACATGAAATAAAACTTGAATGTATATACAACACATGTGTTCATGCTAGAGGTTTGTAATTTTTTTCGTTTTTGACACATCACGTGATGATTTTGGCGTATTCTTTTTGAAACACCCTGTGTATTACACTGTTATATTTTTAGTTTATTATAGGAGCCAACGATATTGAACAAAGAATTGGTATTGTTAAGAGTAGTTTCACACAAAACCACAAATTGCTACTAAACGAAAACAGTAGCCATTAGTTTTAACTCGATGTTTTTTTTCTTAAATAATGATATTGATATTATTATATGGATGTCATATTGACAAAGTCATTCGGAAATATCTAAAGTGTTAACCGCTTTCTTGGATCAGTAGTTTAGAGTGTATGAAGTATGAGGGCTTTTATTATCAACAACCTTCTTTGAATACCGAATCACCAACAAAATCTGTATTAGGTAAGAGAAACCACATCATTTGATGATTTTCCACAACAGCAACAACTAAAATAAATATAACTTTTAACTCGATGAGAAAATAATAACTTAATCAAGATGTTGACATTACACAATACTTCAAACAAAAGGTTAGGAAGGAAACTGCCATCAATACTGGAAAGAGCGATAACAGCTAGTGGACTTGAGAAAACTATTTTCTTAAAAAGATTTGTTTTAAGAGATAGATTTTATAAATTTCTACCAACATTAACGCTACCTGTTCAATCAACGAATGCCAATTTTTCCTCAAGAGAAAATGGACTAATATTACTATTTTTATGTGACAAAAATATTAATAAAAATCCAAAGGTCCTAATTACATAAAGAGGAACAATATATATATATATATATATATATATATATATATATATATATATATATATATATATATATATATATGGTCTTGATTTATGCCGATTTGATTAATATCTGTATATGATCCTATGTTGACGGTTATAAAATGATATTTAATAATTTATACGTCTTTAAATTTAAAAAAAATAATTTTGCATTGATGACTACAGACAAATTACATCATTAAATATATATTTTTATATACTTGTATGCAACTTTTAAACATAACTTTAAGACGATACATATACTATCAAAATATTTGTAAACATTGTTAAACAATGTCTCATTCTTTTTTCTTTTCTTCAATCGCATTCTTCTCTAAATGTTTCAAAATATTGGAAGAGTTACGGAAATCATTTTGATTTATATTATTATTATTATTATTATTATTATTATTATTATTATTATTATTAGATCGCCACACTTTGATAGTTCCGTCAGGCTAAATCTCACCTACCCACAACATATAGCTAAATCACATTCCTTAGCACTAAAAAATATTATTATTATTTAAATTTGCACGTGGATTTTTTCAAACGCCGGGAATAATTTTAAAGTGATTCTCTGTCATATCTCAAGACCTCAAGACCTTATCTACGTAATGTATGTTTGAAGTTCTTCAAAAACCTATCAAAATACAAGGATATCGAAGTGGAAATCTCAAAAATGTAGCACACAAGGTCATCAATAATTCCAGTTGT